TACAGCGAGGACGACCCGACCGCTTATGGTCGGCTGGCTGTTCTCGCTCAAATGGGATGGACGGTGGAGTCTGTGGTCGAACCACCACCCGAGCAGGTTACGGACCCTCTCCCTGCTGAGGAGACCCCGGGAGAAGTGGCTACGCTTCCACCAGGGGAGAATGCTGCTGTTGAAAGGGAAACTCCCACCTGGTTGGAAATGCCTAAGAAGCAGAACAAAGGCGTCCTGTTAGCGGTAATCGAGCCCTGGTCGCCCTAGTGAATGACTGATCGCATCCCCCCTTAGGCGAGAGGATGGGTGAAGCCGGCTGATCCCGAGCCCTTCCATTACATTTTCGACACCGTGCTATTGCTACGGCCTCGGCTACAGGAGGAGGGCCTGGGTTATGAAGACTTGGTCTTGGCTGACGCTGTGTTGCGTATGTGCTTTTCGGATGAACTATCTCGGAGTAGGCCTGTGGCCAAGTATGCCGGGAGGTAGTAGTAGTAGTAGTAGTAGTAGTAGTAGTAGTAGTAGTAGTAGTAGTGGTAGTAGTAGTAGTAGTAGTAGTAGTGGTAACGGGCGACAATGGGCCCTGACCAATGACGTAGGCTCTGGCCGTTGGCGGATATGAAAGGAGTGTTCACCACGATAGGGAAGGATCTCAAGGCTCTTCCCGCCGACTTGGAACCTATGCATTGGGTACGCCTCATACAAGCCCTTGTGGAGTCGGAAAGACGCCACGAGGAAGGGGCCGATCAGAATGAAGACGAAGGTTCTGCTACATGAATGCTTGCATGTTTCGGCCACTCGTGGAAGCTTGTGTTGGTTCAAAGGGAATCCGCAGATCTGTTTGTCGTAGTCTCCTGATTCTGTTTGACATGTCTCGTCGAGCTGAGCGTGGAGAGACCGACTTGTCCCGTCCATTGGAGAGGAGGTCTAGGCCCTATGATGAGGAAGGTCGCAGGTATGCTCTGGGGGGCTTCTTATGTGCCCTAATCTGAACTACAACAAGTCGCTAGCGGCTCTCATGCTGATAGGGTTTGCCTCATACGTAGGTCAGACTACCGGAGACCCCTGATGCCCCCTCCGGGTAACGACCCTAGAGGCCCCAGAGGCCTCCCTCAGCGTAGGAGAGGCATTGCCATCGACAGGTGGGGGAGTTCCTCCGACAAATCAGTGAGGCAGCGGTCTGTAATCGTTCAGAGCCCAGACATGTCCTTTCCTCCTTCGAGTCTTCTATCGTATGGGGTCTCATCACAATGACAGCGACTTTGCCAAACTTGGAGAACTGCCGGTTGACGAGGAGCTTCAGGTCTACACCTGGCCAGACGCCTCCCTCAGGGAGATCTCTGGTACAGTCCTCTAACCTCTTCGACGTCCCTCATGACCTCTCTCAGATTTGATT